TGTGCATCCTGTTAACATTGGTCTAACAGCAACATAAAGATACAAAATGAACTGACTAAAGTGCAAAATGCCCCACCAAGGCAAACAGCGCCCTTGGATGACCATGCCAGTGTTAACCAAGCCTCGCATCCTTTCGGGGTGGGTTGATCGATACAAATTTTCTCTGCGAGGATAGAGAACTTGAGGTGAACATTGGCTCATCCCGACTTTTTGAATAGGTTAGGTCGCGTCGATATGTTGCAGCGTTTTTAGTAGAAGTAGGAAGTGTGGCGCACTCTAATAGGGATCGTTAGCACTGAACCTTTTACCAATTCGATGACGTCTCAATACTCAATAGCCCATTGCCAAGTCTTCCACAAACTTTTCAGAGAAACGGTAGTGGACGAATTACGACGTGGCATGGTGGCGCTTACGATATAAAGGAGATGAAGGGCTACGATATAAAGACTGATACCCTCACCTTCACCTCATCTGGTCAAGGTGTTGGTACAATGCGGCTGTATAGATTAGCGCGAGCTACCTCAACAAATCAGGTGAGGGATTGAAATTTATACCTTTGCAATATTGATGTTATCCATTGCTTGATACACAACAGTTTGGAACTTTCTCAAGTATTGTAGCAGGGAACCTGAATAGTGGGAAAATGACAAGAAAAAAGCGAAATTAAACAGTCAAAAATCTGCAAAAGAACACTTGTCCTGCCCGGCCTTTCTGGAAGAGTTTTCCGTTGGCATCGTGCTACCAACCGCTTTGGGGGAGGCGGTTGCGGTGGGCATCCGGGTCGGCATGTGCCGCCCTGGTTAGGTGCAATAACGATACCCTTGGATGGAAAAAGCGCCATGCAGGGCGTGCTAAGGGGCGAATACTCCTTTGTGCAAGGTTTAATGATCCTGTACGCCTTCTCGGTTTATCGTGCCACTTTCTCGTAATCAGAAAAAAGGATGTAAACGTTAGTGGAAAAAACTGCTACGAAGCACAATTGATTTGCCGTGCCCCTAGTCCTTCTATTGATGGGTTTATCATCAGCGAATAATCAAACACTTCCTTTTCAAATTTTGAGCTTTGAAATTCTGTTGTAGTTCCTTCTAAAATCTCCTTCATTTTTTCTCTTATAAACTACATTAGCAATCAACAGGAGAAACGAGCGAAGTTTAAGACACACCCTAGTCGGGATTTGCAGAGACTCGCATCCGTTGTGTCCTTGTTATTGGTGCGCCCTCCCCCCTGACAAAAGGAAGAGACAAACCAGCCAGAAAGGCACAATTGTTTCTGAGTCTCCGCCCTTCATCAGCCCATCCAGCTATTGTAGAGTGTTTCGTTAAATCCGATGTCCAAGATCCACAAAAAATAACAAAATTGAGAGTCCAACGGTCAGGATTTATTTTACTTTTACAGTCATCGACAATCGTGCTGTCCTCGATCGTCTCCAATTGCGACTATGGCACATACGATGTGTCACCAGATGGCAAGCGAGCTGTTCTCGGTTGCTTACAACCATTTAAAAATACTAAATTGTACCTCATGAATGTAGATATGCCTAGTAATAGTAAGTCTTTTATCAGCTTTTGGTTAAGCGCTACAATATATGGGAGCAGTTTTGTTCTAGATAGACTACTAGATGGCGCTGAAGAAGCTCATATCCCATTCGACCTTCCTGAGCTCTCCTATGAGACTGTTAGGCTACCATCAGGTTATGGTAAGTACTGCAGGTGTGAGTAGGTGCCTGAATAGTAGATATACGGGCAACTTTCTCTCAAATGTTGTTTCTTTTTCACCAACTCATTAACGTCGTATTACAAAAATAAATAATAATATAATATTATAATACGATACAATAATAATATAATACAATATAGTAATTATTGTTGTGTGGGTACGACTTGACTGGATCGCTTCTTCTGCGTTGAACACAAGAATGAATTAAATTAGCATTTTTCAGAAGTCCACATTGGCCTAATGAAACCACCTAAATTCGACCCATCACTGAAATATCCCATGCTCGTCGACGTGTTAGTTTTGTTTTTTCCCTAGCCTTTTTCACTTTGGACTGATTTTCAGTACTGGTCAAAAAAGAATTTATTTTCACAACTTTCAGTTATGGTGGTCCAAACAGTTGTCGGATCCGCCGATCTACACCGAATCCCAATATGATTCATTTTTGCTCGAGCCTCGGCGTGATCGTGGCATGGATTGACGGCCGAGGGTCTTCAAATCGAGGTAGTTTATCCTGTACAAACTGACATAGTACTGTCGGCTTACAATATGCAGTCTTGTTCGCTGCGGATATGGGCGGAGGGTGTCAAGGGGCTGAGTATGGCGCGGCACCATCCCGTTCTCCACCAGGTGTTGAAGCGAGCCAGCGACAATAATTGGTTGGAAATAGGTACCCGCGCCCCTGACATCCCTCAGCTTTCGCAGAACAAGAC